GAGTGAGGCAAAATGTTGTAGCTTAATTGTTTCGTCACTATCAAGGATGAATTGGTGTGAATTAGAGGGAAAGAAACACTGACTGATGGGGTCTATCTATTGATGGCACAATTCGGTTAAATAAATTCCAAAAAACACGAAGTAACAGGTAAATACCTTGTTTTCGTAAAACTTCTTTCTAAGTTTGGGGTCTTTTGGTGGCACTGTTTGCCTTAACCTCTTGTACCACTGCCGCACAATGTAGCCACGCCAGGCAGACTGTATCCTGATTGGTGATCAAAAGCAAGACAGTTAGTACTGAGACTGAATGAAAAAGGTTATGTTAAATAAATATTATACAAGTTTCTGTGATAAATGAGTAAAATGAACGAATCAATACATAGTATTTGAATTTAAAGGAGAAGTATGTTATAAAAATGTTTTTTTGGGCGATTGATGAGTGCAGAGGACATCATAGTGCTGAAAACCTTGAAAGGTTAAGGTAAATCTTGTGCTAAAATAACGGCTGTGGAAGCCTTCATTTGGAATTTCTGAACAGAATTCAGCAGTGACCATAGTGTCTGCACTTGCACCATCTCCAGAAGCTGTTTGGTTTCTACCATTTGCTTAGAATTCTGATGAGTCATGTGTGAGCACATTGAAAAAGATTTTTTGTCAAGTGACCATCAGAGGGATCAAACTGTCAATCCGTCACTAAAAACCTGCTCAGAATGCAAAGACTGAGCTGCTGAAGCCATTACTATGTGAGATCAAACAAGTACTTTGTTGCACATTTCTCTCTGTATTCCTTGGCACCTTCATGGATAATCCTTCTTTGGTACTGTTCTTTTCTACACATGGGACAAGATTTGCGCCCAGAAAACTTTTCAAATGCTTCAAGACAAGTCTAAAAGGCATAATTAAGGTAAATATTAGTATACTACAATTCCTTCGACATTCATGAACCTGATGTTAACATGTAGTTTATTCATGCCTGACTGGCTTTTCCTTGAGTCTCACAAAAACATTTGCAAAATAATATTTCTGGTTTTGACACTTTCTTGATTTTCTCTGTGAAATACCTTCAGTGTATCTTTAGATGAACATTCCAAAATTTTTTAAAGGAAAATACAAGCTCAGTTTTGCATGTGTAATAAAAATGATATTCATATAAAGCTTCATGTGATTGCAATATTCTCAAAACCTACCCTATGAAAAACATGACTGCATGACAACAAAACCTAAAATTCAAGAAAATGTACATTTTTAATATATCACCCATTTCAACTATATTAGATATCATCAAGTAATCATGCATGAAGCAAAACTCTATGGCATAAAGTTTTAACTCTTTAATTCCCAAGATCTGATTGTTAATTCTCCCCTCTAGCTGCAACACATTTCCTTGTAAATTAGTTATGAGAGCTTGGTGCTAGATCAAGATAGCAGCTTCTATCAGATAAGTTTGAATATTCTCATTACCTGTTTGCTGAATAATGTATGGATATTACAGGGAGAAGTTTCATGTTAATCACTTCTGGGAATTAAAGGGTTAAGAAAAACAGCAGGTTAAATAAATTCCAAAATGCTTCAGGGATAAGAAGTCAGTATATCACAACTATGAAATACTACAGTAAATTTTTTAGGAGCATATAAAATTAAGACAAAAGTTTGCTTACAAACTCTTCAGCAATTAGATTGGGCTTGTCATAGTTTTCGCAAAACTTATAGTCTCAAAAACTGTGGCATATTTCCTATCACCTTTGTTCCTTCTGATTATAAATTATTATCAGAGAGTACTTTTACATTTCTAAAGTGCTAAGACTCTTAATTATTGTAAAACATGTACTCTGTCAAAGAGAAAAGTTATAAGATAATTATAACTTACAATAAGTATTAAATAAATGTATGAATGAGATTGTCAACATGTATGTCTGTGACAGTCTGTGTAATACATTATAGCATGGTTCACCTAGGAAATAACACACATCACCTGCTGTTGTAAACCAAAGTCTTCTTTGCAGATTACACATGGCTGACTAGAATCCTGTCTTTCATTGGATTTCTTCTTAACCTCTTTCCATTCTTTGTCCGTCAGAAGAAGTCCTGGAGCCTCAACAAGGCCAAGTTTCTGAGCTTAGAAATTTGTTGCCATTACTAGATGTCAACTTTATTTGGAATTCTTGCCAACCCAGCAACAAGTTCTCAGTAATTCAAATGTAAAATCAATTAGCTACAGTAGCAAGTACATGTAACACCTTAACAAAAGCACAATCCTATGGATTGCCAGCTTTTAGGGCACTTCAAGAATAACTTCATTGAATGCTTGTTAAAGATGATGTAGTGTGTTTAATTCTCAGGTGTGAGGTACATGTATAGTGGCCAGTCCTTGCTATATACATTTATGGCTTTGAGGTGATCTTACATGAGCACAGGTTGAAGTCCATGCCAACATCAACAGACAGTAAACTAGTTACCAGTTTTACCCATGAAGTGTCATAAGGTATTGTTTGAGTGAATAAGACACCTGTTGTGGTCAGAATGTCCTAGTTGTATAAGTATGCACAGGAAATCCAAGCTTACTCATTGAGCCTCAGTAAACAAGTAGAGTCTTACATGCCTATGTTTCTGTCCAAAGCAAAGGGCAAAGGGCAAATGACAAGGCAGGGAAACTAAAACAGACCTAATAGTTATAAATCAATCGAGAAAACTCACACAATTCAGAGGAAGTGAAGAAAAAAGCCAGTTTAGTTTGCTTTACTAAAAAGAGTTAATATGTTGCCTATTATATATAAGTGCACAACGTAAATACATTTACATATTTGTGTAGGCTGGTTGTGCCAGCTTGGGTAACCTGTAGTATACATCAATATTCAGACATACCTAGGGTAAGGGGTGGTGGTTTTGGATCGAGAACGTACTCTTTCTTGTCCTGATCGTCTTTGGCATCACGGTTTACAACGGCCTTGGTTGTCCTCTTTTTGGATGCAGTTGGTAAACTATGGTTGATTTTCTTTTTCTTGAATGGATCTTGGAGGGAAAGGGAGCGAGTCATATGGTCTTGAAGAGCTACAGCAGCAAGAGCCATACTTGACTGAAAATAGTTCATGGATACAGATTGATGACTTTTTCAGTTTTGAAGATTCCTCTAAATGTAAAATGTTATAAATTTGAATATCACCGAAACAAGAACATACCGAATTGCTTCCTGACTTATTTGTTGATAGTTTTTGTGGCCTCGTGTTTGCCATCATGCAAAAACCGTCTTTTGTTAATAAATGAAGTCACAGATTCGGGAAAAGAAGATGAAACTTTGACAAACCATATCGGTTGGCAAGGACGCCATTTTGAAATCGCAACAAATGTGCATACACATGCAAGCAAATTAGGCAGAATACCGCTGTACAGCATATTACGAGCACTCAACGAAATGGAGGCTAAACAAAGGGACACGACAATGAACTCAGAAGGAAATACTGTTATACCCCTCTTTGCGTCATTCCAAGAATACTTGTCCAATGACCAAGAGATAAGAGAGGTAAGCTTTTCGAAGGTCTCGCTGTCTCAGGGAACTTTGATGTTTAACTTTATTTTGTGGAAAAGTGTTGTAAGTTAAGGCAAATCAATAACTGATGCGCACGTGCTTAGTAATAAAGTTGGTGTTGTAAGCTGTTCCAGGCTATATGTTATATATTTTACTTCTCCTATTGCCATAGAAATACAAAGAATTACTCGTCAGAAAAATTGTTGTTTTGAAGATTTGGGTGGTTTTTCAGATTAGTTAGCCTCTAAATCGGGAATCCGCATGACCTGGGTTTTTTGCCTTTGACAACACTTTGACCATTAAGAGTGACTTGCATCTAATTACTCTATCACCCTGAATCAAACATTAAGGTCACGTGAACAAAGGAAAT